TACCGTGTTCGTCAAGCAATGAGTTATGGTTTGCAAAGCACCTATAAAAATGCCGATTATTCAATAAGAAATCACACAGAAAGAAATTATTCGAATCAAGCATAATTCAATTACCGATTATTTAGGTAAGAATGGTATCCTACCATTCATATGCCTTTTCACTGTATTACGATTCCACTTGCCCGCAAGTTCTTCTCTGCGCCTCTTAATCTGAATGAATAAACAACATTTGAAGTCTGGCAGTATCCATCCTGTCTAATGGTGAAAGAGGGCATTAAGCCTATTCTTTCCCACCCTCCATAGATTAGGAATATTATCAACATCGTCCTCTTTTGTGTCAAACAGTAATCAGCTTTCACAATTTTTTATAATGTACAGCAGAAATTATGTTCAAATGTAACGTCTGAAACAGACTATACGTTCTTGTATTACACATACACAAACATACTAGAGGCTTTATCGCTTATCACGGTTATTTATCGCTTATCGCTGAAAAGGCACTACCTTAAGTATCTAATATCCTGCACTTTTAGGAGATTGTAGTGTATCTACACACCCCGATTATCATGGCCTACTAACTTTGCAATAGTGGTGGAGCTACATATATATATATATATATATATATATATATATTCGTATAGGAAAGAAGACGCACGTACGAAGTTATTTTATTTGACGTTTCGGCCGTGGGTCCGGCCTTCATCAGAATCTGATGTTTCTGATGAAGGCCGGACCCACGGCCGAAACGTCAAATAAAATAACTTCGTACGTGCGTCTTCTTTCCTATACGAATAATATTTCCCGGACCCAGCATCACTTTTGTTTTTGGTATATATATATATATATATATATATATATATATATATATATATATATATATATATATATATATATATATATATATATATATATATATATATATATATATATATATATATATATATATATATAAGGGAATGAAGCGAATACTCAAGGGCTCGTTTTTGCTTGTTTCACCCACTTGCCAGCCTCTGCGGCAATACACGGCGCCTCTCTTTTTAGGACGAGATGTCGACGGGGCACTGAGTAGTTAAAAACTTAAACTTCCTAAAAAAGCTCTTTTTCCTCCACACCGAACCGCAAACGCTAGAAGGCGCCGTCTGGTCGGGAACAATGCGTTAGTGAAAGGAAGTATACACAGACCGCAGACATCCTAAAGGTAAAAAAGAGAAAAGAAAGAGAGCTGAATGGGGAAGGGGAAGGAAGAGTGAAAAGGGGCGCCCGGGGGAGTACACCTTATACTATACTTTGAAATACAATAGTCTTTTTTGGGGACCTTCCACGCAAAAGTTTTGGTCTGTCTTTCTGTCTGCACATTTGTCTGTTTGTCCACTCTTGATGGCACTGGGTACTTGAAACGGCCGGCCCCATCCGCAGCGCCCAATCTTGCTCAAGGTTTAGCGTTCCTAATTGTGCAATTGTCAATTAATAAGCAATTATTGCGCAAGTCTGGGACACCATAACAACACGTATATATTCTGCATGTACATGTATTACTATAAAATTGATACATAAGTAATTCTAAGGACCGTAGCGCTTATCACGCTGCACTGACAATGAAACGCTTGCACGAAAAGGCGAGTGTTTCCAACAATTTTCTAAGACGCGACGGTGGTGGCACCTACCTGTCGCCTTGCGTTCTACACCTTATCACCTCTGAGACGGGCGTGCACACCCGTCTTGAAGCCACGCGCTTTGCTTTCTAAGATAACTGCCAGATGGCGCTCATGTCTCACGTGTGACGTGACTTGATGCGCTCATTCGCCTCCGCTGCACGCTCGAGGCACTCTAACGTAGCACCTCCAAAATACCATTCAACGATTTTCTTGCCCAGAACATCAAATAAACGTTTTGTTTGCTCTCTCCACACGCAAGACTATCGTTTTTCGACGACATTTGCAGATAAACATGCAGATACGGGGCAATTTGTTTTTCTTTTTTTTTCTTTTTTTTCTTTTTTCTCCTTTTTTCTTTTTTTCCTCTTTCTCTTTCTCTCCCTCTCTGAATTAGGATTGTAAAAGCTGAGCACCAACAAACTGTACACTCAATCCTGATGAAGGCCATACTCTAGGTCGAAACGTCGAAATAAACCACGTTGTGACCGCTCATGGAGGATCTACTTAAATACTTGCGACGCTACGGCCACTCAACCACCATGCTTGCATGGTGGTTGATTGGCCGTATATATATATATATATATATATATATATATACCAAATACAAAAGTCATGCTGGGTCCGGGAAAGATTATCCGTATAGAGAAGAAGACGCACGTACGAAGTGATTTTATTAACGTGCGTCTTCTTCCCTATACGGATATATATATATATATATATATATATATATATGTGTGTGTGTGTGTGTGTGTGTGTGTGTGCGTGTGTGTGTGTGTGTAATCAGTAGAAAGAACTTCATCGATGCGCTCGCACTTTGAGGCGAATTTGCATTCACAGAGGTGACACGACGCACATTCTATAGATTAGATACTACGAAGTTCAGTCCCTCTTTAACAGGCCGAGAAATGGTACTCTTAGCCCAACTTCTGCGTCCAATATGCGATGCTCATTTCGCTGTCATGCTTCTTTTTCTGGTTGTGCTTTGGCGGTTAACATTTATATGAGCCACAATAGCTTGTTTATTAAATTTATCATGAAGTTGTGTCGTCGGGATGGAGATGTACACATTGTCAACGAGGATATATCCACGTTGAGCGGGGCTATAGGTTCTGAACACCGGAACTTACATTTGCCGAACCCTCCCTTATCAATGTATACTAAACATTTATCCCTGTGAATGCTCGTTTTACTTTCGTGTTATATGCTGATTCCTCTCACGGAGGGGTCAGCCCTATTTTTCCAACGAATAATTGCTCTTATATTTCTTTCATATAAGTATTACACTTTCTTGCATATATTCAGACTTGTACGTGTTATAATATGCCCTATTTGCTAAATGTCTGAACACCTTATCTGGAGCGTGCAGAATATGGCTCTTGTTACAATACTGTTACTATCCTTTTATCACCTTCGCAACAATTTTCTTCAAAAGAGTATATTTTGTGGTGTTGGGGATGTAATATATTGTTTACACTCATTTTATTTGCATAAAAAGTTTTAACGGGCATCCAGGCACCTGCATTATAGATACGCCATTACAAACGGCGTAGGCACTTTTTTTCTTCGTAAGAATTATTTATGGGCAATTAAAACAGAAAAATATTCTTCGTTTCTTCCTTCCGAAATGTTAGTTAGCCGTATATGATTGGTGTAAGCAGTCTAGTTCATGCACGCAGCACTAGCTTGTTACGCGATGCAACAAATGACGCGAAAGTGACTCATCGTGTAATGACCACTTATGCACGACCATGTAAAAAATTAAAAGACCTAACTATTTTCGATACGGCATATTGTGTGCCATTGGTAGTTGGGCATATAAAATTTTTTGAGTGTCACAAGTTTACCTGCTTGTTACATGACGTCACGAAGCCGGAGAGCATCTTCTTCTAAATGTTATTGAAACTTAGCAGCGCATACATAGGCAGCGGCTACATATAGCAGCTAGCGAGATGGACTATGATTTTAATAAAACATTTCTACTTGCAGCACAATGGTGTTCAGTATTTCGTGCGCGTATACACATCTCTGTGAGCTCATACTTGCTGAGACAAAGAGAAATAGAGAGAAATAAGCAGAGCTGCAGGTGTGTGCTTCTTCGCTGTCCGAGATGTATTACGAACTCTACAGGAAAAGTCAAGTTGAATAAAAATACAACTAGCCTGACTCCTAACTAAGCCTCCATAGTGCCGAAAATTGCGGTATTTCACTTTATTCTTGATCCGGCGGCTCAAGTTGTGAGGCAAACTTAAAAGCTGTGCTTCCTACTGAGTTCAACTCGACTGCTTTATTCGTGGCCACTTTGCAAGCTGCCATTATGTCTCCAAGTTACCATAAGCAAGGTTGATAAGATTTATCATAGACTAAAGCAAAAATAATTTACGGCATACTAGTTCGGAAAAACCTAAACATCAAAAACAATTGGTCACGCACATCGGCTTGCAATAGCTTCGACGGAGCAGTGGTGATGGTGTATTCTTTTCGAAGAAAATTATTTTCGCGAAGCAGCAAATGTTTTCACGTGTTCATGAAAACTTCTAACGCTCCTATCCGTAACTGCATCAGCAAGTCACAGCAGAATAAAAGCATGAACAATTGATGTAATAATATAGGACCCCCCTTCAGCGCTTGCCTGCTCTGCAATACTACAGCACAAGACGCGAAGTAGTCGCATAGGCGACCCGCACCACAAAGAGGCTACAAGGAAAATAATCACAGCGGAATGGTTGGTGAAATTTTGCTATTTTGTAACACTGCCTCGTAACATCTCCATTCTTTCATAACAATATATTTGAATGAATAATGATGTGACGGAAAACTTCGCATTCTTCGCTCGTTTCCCCAGAGTGCAGCCAAGAGTGGCCACTGTCGAAAGTAGGGGGGCTCAGCCCTCCCCAACATTTCTCAGTGGTGGGGGGGGGGGGGGGGTGCACCCCCTTGCCTTCGCGGCTGATACGTTTATGCCGGGAGCATAGTGAGCTTGGCTAGTCGGTAATTGATTGTTATGTTACCCCACGACAAAAATAATAAATGAAGAGTAACGTAGACACAGCTCTAACAACAAAATATTTTTATTAGAAAACGTGTTTTTGTATAGCGAAGACCAACCTACAGCGCACAGTAACCTCTACATACCTGCATTCCCATCAGCTTAGGTCGCACACCCACAACCTTCGTTCAAAGGCGTCACTAGCAGGTAATTTCACTTTGTCCTTGCTCAAAAGTGTGTCGCAGTTTTTCATTCGGCCTTAACGGTCAATACTTGTAATACTTATGACGCGATTGCCTGCGCCCCAAATATGCCTACACTTATGGAGGTTATATCCGAATGCCTGATGTGACATGCAGGCGCTATGGTCAGCCCCTGGACTCCCCGATGGCCGTGGTTGTGCAGGCGATGGCGCCAGCAGAGGTGGCAGGCGTCCTCTTCACCTGTGACAGCCGAACGGGCGACTCCAGACGCATCCTCATCACGGCCAATCATGGGCTCGGAGACGTAGGTACCTTACCTTTGTCTGCATGCGTCATTATACCCCTGCAGATTTGTACTTTCAGGTCGATTCACAACCCACATCATTTGAAAGCATTTCAAGAGTACTCTGGCCAATTGCTCCGTATAGCAGAAGAAGGTCAATAACGAGTACACACACACACATATATATATATATATATATATATATTGATTTGTGGGGTTTAACGTCCCTAAACCACCATGTGATTATGAGAGATGCCGTAGTGGAGGGCTCCGGAAATTTCGACCACCTGGGGTTCTTTAACTTGTGCCCAAATCTGAGCACACGGGCCTACAACATTTCCGCCTTCATCGGAAATGCAGCCGCTGCAGCCGGGATGCGAACCCACGACCTTCGGGTCAGTAGTGTTTATTTACTATCTTTTCAAGTAACTAAGATGGATAAAAAATCCCAACTAGAAAGCTGTAACGTACGTTTAGACAGTCTCGATACTTGTATCTGGTAATTATTAGAGCTTTTCTGCTAACTACATATGCCCGCGGAATACAAAAAATGCCGCGCGGCAAACCCACTGGCGCGCCTACGCACGCAGCGATTCTAGTGCTCTCTAACGTTCTGCGTACGAACGATGCGCTTCCCTCGCACCAGTTAATAACAGCGATAAGCAGTCACATAGCTTATCGCGTTTGTGGCCGATTACAAAAAGTGTTCATCGCAAAGACAACACCATCAGGTCGCAGGATCGAATCGCGGCGGTGGCGGCTGCATTTACGATGGAGGCGGACATGCCGTAGGGCCGTGTGCTGAGATCTGGGTGCACGTTAAAGAACCCCCGGCGGTGGAAATTTCCCGAGCCCCCCACTACGGCGTCTCTCATATTCATATCGTGATTTTGGGACGTTGAACACCACATATCAATTATTCAAAACTGCTTTGCCTGCATATTAATGAATTTCGTTTTCCACAGACTTGTCCCAGTTCTCTATTATCACCCATTTCATAACCGATTTAACAAGCTCGACGTTATAGGAAGAACAATTGTTTCTTGAGGTACGGTGGATATTTTAACCGGGCATCGTCTTTGCATTGTGATAACCGCATTGTGATAACATGCCAGGTAAGTCATAACATTATATATACATAATCAAGCATAAGACGCATGGTCTACCTATTTAAAAACATGCTATGAAAAGATTTGTCAAGCACTCATTCAGCTCAAATAATATTTCTTCCTACTATACTGTGAAAAAAAAATCCCTTGCAATAGAGGGCAGTCCTCGTACTTGAGATACACACTATTTCTATTAGCAACTGACCAGTTACTGATGCGCGTGCCTGTTTGGTGGTGCCTGTTTGGTGGTGAACGCCTGTTTGGTGGTGCCTGTTTGGTGGTGCCTGTTTGGTGGTGAAATAAGCGTGTCTGTTTGGTGGTGAACGCCTGTCTGTTCACTGTAGTGCGGCCTGGCTGCCCGTGTTGCCAAAGCATACTTCGAAACACGAGAAGCAACACAAAAGCCGCCCACATTTTCCCACATGAGGAGCTGGAGTAAATGCGTCACGGGGTGGTGAGGGTATCGGGTAACTGTTGCGAAGTTGAGTAAGGTTTGGAAATTCTTAATTATTATTTCGCCTTTATTATTCCTATTTATTGAATGAAAGAGAAGCGTTCCCTTCACCGAGTGGTTGGACGCTGATGTTAGGTTGTACACCACTACTGATTGAAGGTACTGCTCCTTCCATCGCATCTACTCATGTCAAGAAACCGTGAAGTCAAGCGAAAGATATATATATATATATATATATATATATATATATATATATATATATATATATATATATATATATATATATATATATATATATATATATATATATATATATATATATATATATATAGATGGCCTCTACCTATTTCGAAACGCTCGATTCAGTGCCTACATATACGGGTTGGCCGGTGAACGGCTGTGTAGCATGAGGAGTCAGTTTTACATTAGCAGATGATGCCTGCGGTGGCCTTCACATTATTACTCTCTCAACGACGTTTCCTTTGATATGCATGGTTGAAGAATGTTTGCGTGGGTGTCAGGCATGATTATGACACGCGAGTCACTAGTGATCAGATCACTACGTGGCGTAACAACGTTCAAGTTATTACCCTCGCAAAGACATTTCATTTGATATGCATGAAGGCAAGTTAGACATTGCGTGCGTCAGTGATATGCATGATGACGTCACCTGAGTCCCTAGTGATCAGGTCATTAGGCCGAGTAACGGTGTTCAAGTTATTACCCTCTCAAAGACGTTTCATTTGATATGCATGAAGACACTTTAGAGAGTGCTTGCGTGGCTGTTAGGCATGATGGCGTCACGCGAGTTGCTAGTGATTACATCACTAAGCCAAGTGACCGGGTTCAAGTTATTACTCTCTCAAAAACGTTTCATTTGATATGTACGAAGACAGGTTTGTACTGCTCATGCGTGGTTCAATTGCGTGAGGACGTCACGTGAGTCACTAGTGATCATGTCACTAAGCCGAGTGGCAACGTTTAAGTTATTACCCTCTCGGAGACGTTTCGTTTGATATGCATGAAGGCAGGTTAGAGAGTGCTTGTGTGGGTGTTAGGCGTGATGGCGTCACGCGAGTCGTTAGTGATCACATCACTAGGCCGACTTTCAGGGTTCAAGTTATTACTTACTCAAAAACGTTTCATTTCATATGCATGACGAAAGTTTAAGACAGCACGTGCGTGGGCGATATTCGCGATCACGTCACCTAAGCCACTAGTGATCAGATCATTGACCTGGGCAACATGTATCAAGTTATTACTGCGTACACAGCGTTTCCTTTGATATGTATGTCGAATGTTTGAACAGTGCGTACGTGGGTGATGGACGTGATAAAGTCGCGCGAGTCACGTTGTGTCACTAGTCACTCATTCATTGCTTATTCTACGCATCTTGATGATATATCCTCCATAATTGATTCTGAAGCTATTCACTCCACGCGTTCCTGAAAATTCTGGGTCGCTTTGAAGTCACGATGTCATCAGGATCGAAATCGCTGGTGTCTGGATTAAATTAGTTGGCGGTTAGAATAATTTCACTGGCAACTTGATTAAAATGAACTGCACATGGACTAACTTGAGTGGCGGCTGGATTAAATTGACTCGCACCAGGATTAATTTGGCAGGCGCTTGGATTAAATTCAGCCGGAAAACCTGTAGATCGGTGACAACGCTTTTAACGAAGATCCAAATGCTCTCATGTGCATTTCACTGGCAATCCTCGACGACCAGGTTACACTTCCACCCTTTTCAAGTGTTCTAGGTCTTGTGGGCAACAGCGATTCTACGGACCTTGATGGCATAGTCGAGGCTCACCATGGCTTGCTGCTCAATCAAGATGTTTCTGTGCAAGAGGCGTGACTCGCATATCCGGCGGGAAATGCAATGTCCTAATGACAAACTTTGGGCCCGAATACCAGTATCTCAATCAAGGCACCTTCGTAGTGACATTTTCAGACTGTTCCAGACATCGCAGATGTCATCGCGCTCGAAGTGCAGAAACCTCGAACAGCAAATATGTGGTTCAATGTAAATCCTTGACTACCCCAAGATAAATGAGAACGCCTTTGATCTCTGCTCATCACCTACCAAGATTGTTTTTCCTCGTCGTAAAAGGTGCGTCAAGCAACACGTTCAAAACATCGCATCATTACTGACGAAACAGTACGACCCATACCGCAATCCCCATATCGTGTGTTCATGAAAGAACGCGGCGCTAACAGCAGAGAGGCAAAAGAAATGCTCACGGATGACATCGTTGAGCCGTCTAAAAGTCCGTGGTTTTCTCCCGTCGTGCTGGTGCAGATAAAAAAGGGAGCCTACAATTATGCGTGGACTATTGCAACAGAATAACGGAGGGGACGTCTATCCTCTTCCGCGAATAGACGACGCATTGGATCGGCTGTGCCATGCAAAGTACTTTTCATGTATGGATCTAAATACTGGCTACTGTCAGATTGAGGTGGATGAAAAGGATTGAGAGAAGACTGCATTCTTCACGCCGGATGGCTTGTACCAATTCAAGGTTATGACATTTGGCCTTTGCATTTGGCCTTTGACCCGCCACACTCCGGCTTTCCCTTTCCACCACGTTTCGGAGACCGTGAACGTACACCGAAGGCATTGTTCCCAGCGAGTGGTTCACGTTGGCAGGCGTATGCTGAATGTGCCAAGACTCGAGCAAGAGCCTCTTTCCCAAATTCCGTTCTGTTTCAATAACAGAAGCGCCGTCTAAGTCAATTTTATGGTCGTGCTTCTCGCAGTGCTCCGCCAGAGCGCTACGTTGCACTTCCATCTTCCCGACGTCGTTCTTGTGTTGGCGCATTCTTTCCGGGAAACACTTGCTCTCGCCTATGTAGCAGGCTGGACACCCAGAACACGACACTTTGTAGACAACGCCCGGGTGTAGCTCCCTCGGAGGTCGGTGTTTCGGCCGCGGTAGCAAGCGAGCGAGTGTCGAAACAGGTTTATGGATTACCGTGACCCCGGCTTTTCCTAGGACTCTTGAGAGCTGTTCACTTATGCCCGGCACATATGGAATGGCGACGCGGTTGTTTGGCGACTTAGTTTCTCTCGTGTGCGGTGGTGTGGCCAGGGCGGAAAGGGGGTCGGGCGGTGTGTCGCTTGCAGGTGTCTTTCCGCGGTGCGGTGGTTGTCGTCTCGACAAACGGCGTGACGCCCGGCGGATGAACGCTTCTTTGTAGCCATTCCTTCGTAGCTCGGCGAGACCTGCTGGACAGTCCGGCCTACGAAGAGCTGACGAAGGACCCCACACCAAGTGTCCAAAGGGAAATGAACAAGCTCCTGGCGGATATCTTTAAAGCGCACCCGAAGGCGAGAAACACATACCTCCAGCTCATCTGCCGGAACGGCTCTGCACCAGGATTTTACGGGCTTCCCAAGACCCACAAGCCCACAGTTCCGCTCCGTCCTATCGTGGATTTTACAACATCTCCACT